AATGACAACTGGAGCGTGGTGATCCCCTCGTCGACCGAGGGATCCCCGGAGCAAGGACAATGGTTGCCTATGGAAACGGATGATCCGGAGATGCAGGAAATCATGGATGCTTTGGCCATGGATTCCCTAGCACCGGAACCAGCCCGCGAAAACGAGAGTGTGCTGGCAACGACCGGAATACCTCCTCTACCACTTCGAGATCGACCACTACCTCGCCACTCGGAAGAAGCAACCACAGTTGCTCCGGCGCTCTCTCCGACTCCGACGGCCCTAGCAACTTCCTCTACTACGACATCAGGAGCCGCACAAGCCCTACGTGATCCACCACGACGAGAGTGTCAACATCTACGCACAACGGCGCACGGTTCGAACAGCTTCGTGCACCAGGTGAAGTGCAAAGACTGTGGTTTTGTGATATCCCGCACTCGCCGGGATCAAACGCGGCCGGCATCCACTACGACCTCTCCTACGACAACCACGTGTCCACACCACTGGACAACCTGGAGAGGATCTAACGGATCCATGCGCATCCGGACCTGCAAGGACTGCGGACACAGAGAAAGGTTCGAGATCACGGCAGGAATGGCCGGACCNNACCCGCTACTTCGACGACAGCGTGCCGATCACCTTGGATCGCATCCCGGCAATCCTCCATACCTTTCAGGAGATTGTCACTCGAAGAGTACAAGAACTGCCAGAAGGCACAGAGGTGCCATCACAACGTCTTCACGAAGCTCTGGACCTCTCCATAGCTACCGGTACGGCATGGACGACATCGCCTACGACACCTCCGAGGACCACGACCTCTACTACCCGCTCTTATGGAAGTGAGAGGCACTATGGCGAGTCGGAGCACCACAGGAACCTCAAGGCCAGAGGACAAAAAGTCGTGGAAATGGGACGCTACAAGCACGGTAAGTACGAGGACGCCTACGCAGACGCCGCCTACCGTGCATGGGTGCTGGAGAACATTGGAACCACCAGTGCCTCCGGAATGAAGGCCTTGAAGAACTACTTCGAAGAGCGAATGAGCTACGAACGGCAGCCGGATTCCGTGGCTCTCATGGCCTACCACGAGAACTCCGACCACATCGAGGAGCACGACCTCATCGCCATCTTGGACACGGGATGTAACCAAACATGCCA